CCCGCCACCTTAGGTGTATGTGGCTGGCGCCTTAGCCGCTTGAGCCACAGGCGCCGAGCCTCTTTTAGCTCTTAAAGCCTGTTCTCTGATGATTTCTCTCTGGGCCTTTCTTATCATTTGGTTTCTCTCTTTTTATTTATTTATTTATTGAGACAGAGTCTCATTTTGTCACCCTCAGTACAGTGTCATGGCATCACAGCTCACAGCAACCTCAAACTCTGGGCTCAAGTGATTCTCTTGCCTCGGCCTCCCAAGTAGCTGGGACTACAGGCAATTTTTTTTTTTTTTTAGATAGGGTCTTAGAGGCCAGGCAAGGTGGCTCAGCCCTGTAATCCCAGCACTCTGGGAGGCCAAGGTGGGTGGATTGACTGAGCTAACAAGTTCAAGCATGCCTCAGCCGGAGCAAGACCCTGTCTCTAAAAATAGCTGGGCATTGTGGTGGGAGCCTGTAGTCCCAGCTACTCAAGAGTCTGAGGCAGGAGAATCACTTGAGTCCAAGAGTTTTAAGGTGACTGTGAGCTATGACTCCACAGCACTCTACCAAGGGCAACAAAGTGAGACTCTGTCTCCACACACACAAAAAAAAGGTAGGGTCTTGAGTCTTACTTTGCAGCCCACTGGAATACAGTGGTGCAGTCATAGTTCACTGCAACCTTTAACTCTCAGGCACAAGCAATCCTCCTGCCTTGGCATCCCAAGAAGTTGGGAGTACAGATGTGCCCTACCACACCCAGCTGATTTTTAAATTTTTTGTAGAGATGGAATCTCACTGTGTTGCCCAGTCTAGTCTTAAACTCTTAGGCTCAACCAATCCTCCTGCCTTGGTCTCCCAACATCCTGGGATTACAGGTATGAGCCCTTCAAGCAGCCTGTTTCCCTCTTTGAACACCTTTTTTTACTAAAAAGGCCCCTCTGAGCTCTGTAGTTTAGGAACCAGCGTGACTTAAACCAGCATTTACATCTAGGATTCTCATAACCCCTTTCAGGAAATCACAAGTTAGGATCTTTTGGGCCAGTTAAAGATATCCACTGCCTTTCCTCCGTGGTCCCATCAACATCCTCCTTGCATTTAAAAATATTGACAATTGACTCGGTGACTGTGGCTCAAGCAGCTTAGGCGCCAGCCACATACACCTGAGCTGGCGGGTTCGAATCCAGTCTGGGCCCACCAAACGACAATGATGGCTGCAACAAAAGAAATTGCCGGGCGTTGTGGTGGACGCCTATAGTCCCAGCTACTTGGGAGACGGAGGCAGGAGAATTGCTTGAACCCAAGAGTTGGAGGTTGCTGTGAGTTGTGATGCCACTGCACTCTACCCAGGGTGACAGCTTGAGGCTCTGTCTAAAAAAAAAAAAAAAAAAAAATATATATATATATATATATATACACACATATATATATCTCACCTGTAGCTCAAGCAGCTAGGGAGCCAGCCACATACACCAGAGCTGGCAGGTTCGAATCCAGCCGGGGCCTGTGAAACAACAGTGACAACTACAACCAAAAAATAGCTGAGCGTTGTGGCCGGCACGTGTAGTCCCAGCTACTTGGTAGGCTGAGGCAAGAGAATTGCATAAGCCCAGGAGTTAGAGGTTGCTGTGAGCTGTGATGACACAGAAATTCTACCCAGGGTAACAGCTTGAGGCTTGGTCTCAAAAAAATATATATATATGTATATATTGACAGTCAGGAAGGGTTTCTTTCCTCAAATGAATTTGCTTGCTTCCCTTTTCAGATAATGAAAACAATATAACTTGTTTCCCTTTCTGACCTGCTACAGTAGCTACTTAGAACTGATTCAAGTTTCCAGTATCTATTTTTTTTTTTTTTGGCGGCAGTTTTTGACCAGGGCTGGGTTTGAACCCACCACCTCTGGCATATGGGGCTGGCGCCCTACTCCTTTGAGCCACAGGTGCTCCCCTCATTTTTTTCATTTTTTTTTTTTTTTTTTTTTTTTTTTGAGACAGAGTCTCAAGCTGTCCCCCTGGGTAGAGTGCCATGGCTTCACTGCTCACAGCAACCTCCAACTCCTGGGCTCAAGCGAGTCTCCTGCCTCAGCCTCCCAAGTAGCTGGGACCACAGGCAACCGCCACAACGCCTGGCCATTTTTTTGGTTGCAGCCATCATTGTTGTTTGGCGGGCCTGGGCTGGGGATTCGAACCCGCCACCTTAGGTGCATGTGGCTGGTGCCTTAGCCGATTTTTTTCATTTTTTGACAGAGCCTCAAGCTGTTGCCCTGGTAGGGTGCCGTAGCGTCACAGTTCACGGCAACCTCAAACTCTTGGACTTAAGTGATTCTCTTGCCCTAGCCTCCCAAGTAGCTAGAACTACAGGCACCCACCACAGCGCCCAGCTATTTTATTCTTAGTTGTAGTTATTGTTTGGCAGGCTCGGGCTGGATTCAAACCCACCAGCTCTGGCATAAGTGGCTGGTCCCCTAGCGGCTGAGCTACAGGTGCTGAGCCCATTTTTCTCTTTCCATTTAAGTAGATTTGTTCCATTATTGTCTCTGAATTTCTTATTTTGAATTACAGGGCTTTTTTTAATATATAGTTAATGGCGTGTAAGTTTTAACTAAGTAAACACTTAAGACCCCATATTTGGTATTGCATCATTCACCTTTGACACATAAACACTCAGGGTTGAAATGTATTTTACCTGTTATATACTCCCATGTCTCAAATGTGATTCCGTTTAGCTATTAAAAAAAATATTCAGGGGCGGCGCCTGTGGCTCAGTGAGTAGGGCATTGGCCCCATATACTGAGGGTGGTGGGTTCAAACCCAGCCCTTGCCAAACTGCAACAAAAAATAGCCGGGTGTTAGGGCGGGCACCTGTAGTCCCAAGCTACTCAGGAGGCTAAGATACGAGAATTGCCTAAGCCCAAGAGCTGGAGGTTGTTGTGAGCTGTGATGCCACGCACTCTATAAGGGTGACAGAGTGAGACTCTTTCTCTTAAAAAAAAAAAAAAATTCAGGCAGCACCCATAGCTCAGTGGGTAAGGCCCTGCCCACATACACTGAGACTGGCAGATTCGAACCTGGCCTAGGGCAGCTAAAAACGACAGCAGGGATGGTGGCAGGTGCCTATAGTCCCAGCTACTTAGAAAGCTGAGGGAAGAGAATCACTTAAGCCCAAGAGTTTGAAGTTGCTGTGAGCTGTGATGCCACGGCACTCTGTCGAGGGCACCATAGTGAGACTCTGTCTCTAAATAAATAAATAAATAAATAAAACATTCAGAGCAACATTGTGACTATAAAATATGTAATTCTGAAGTGAAATGTTATTTACTATTTTCCCTTTTCTTCCTCCTGTCTTCCCATTTTCTTCTAAGAATAAATTCAGGGGTATTTTTCCTACCTCTATTTTTAAAATAAGTCCTCTTTTTCTCCCTAACTTCAGTGTGAAATGGCCACCAGTGGTGACAGACAAAGGGACCCAGAAGTTAATTTTAAAGAACTGAGAACAACAAAAATGAAACCTGAACTACTGAGTGGACACATCCCCCCAGGCCACATTCCAAAACCCATCGTGATGCCTGACTATGTGGCGTGAGTATCAGTCTGAATCTTCTTCCAGGTAGAAGTTGAGAGGTCCCATCAGGCCTTGCATTTTTCCTGTTGGTCTCCAAGTTAATATTCTCTGCTTCAGATCATTACGTGGACAGTTTGTTATCCGAGAAGTAACGTATTGAATCGAAGGTAGAATGTGGTTAGTGAGGAAGAAGCTAAGCTGATGTCCCATTCAGCTTGTTTTAGTGAAATTATAACCTTGGTTTATGTCATTCCTTTAGAAAATACCCTGTGATTCAGACAAATGATGAACGAGAACGCTACAAAGCAGTATTCCAAGACCAGTTTGCAGAGTACAAAGAGCTGTCTGCAGAAGTTCAGGCTGTCCTGAGGAAGCTTGATGAGCTGGATGCAGTGATGAGCAGATTGCCACGTCATTCGGAAAACCGACAGGTCAGTGTCTGCCACAGCCTAGGAGGAGCGCTGAAATTTAGAGGAGGGGTCAATCTCACCTTGTTTAAAATTCATAACCATCGACATCAGCTGTCTGTGTCTAGGAAAGCATTTGAGATCTTCAGAGTGACTCATCACAATTATAGTTCAAATCATATAACTTAATATCTTGTGTCTTCAGTTATCAGACCGTATTTATTTTCTTATTTAAGTAAAATATAACTTTGTCTAAGATACACACTGGGTCAGTCAGAGTACCAAAGGAGATAGATGGCACACTGAAGCTAGGATAATAAAAGGTTTTAGTCACACAGGGAGAAGGCTGGATAAAGGAGCCACTGCGGACAGTGCGTTGCCTTGCCCAGCCAGAGCCAAGCAGTTACCACCCCAGGCTCACAGGGCAGAGAGCCCAGTGGATAAGGTGGGGAGCAGATAGGAAGCTGTGGATTAATAGAAGAAAATCAAGAGGGGAAAACCAGGAGTGGAGATGGTAGTCACATGGGACTTGGCTCTTTCTACAGAGTTATTTTTCCTCCATATATTTTTTTAATCTCTGAAATAGGGATACCTTATAACCAGTGGCTTTTTTTTTTTATTTTTTTTTTGAGACAGAGTCTCACTTTGTCACCTTTCGTAGAGTGCTGTGGCTTTATAGCTCACAGCAATCTCAAACTCCTGGGTTTAAGCGATTCTCTTGCCTCAGCTTCCCAAGTAGCTGGGTCTACAGGCACCAACCACAACATCTGGCTGTATTTTTTTTAGAGATGGGGTCTCGCTCTTGCCCAGGCTGGTCTCTAACCTGTAAGCTCAAGCAATTCACCCACCTCAGCCTCCCAGAGTGCTAGGATTACAGGCATGAGCCACCTCACCTGGCCTTTGTGCAAATGTCTTTATGATAAAATGATTTTGTTTCTTCTGGGTAGATAGGCCTAGTAATGGAATTGCAGAATCAAAGGGGAGGTCTAATTTGAGTTTTTTGAAGAGTCTCCATACATCTTTCTAGTCATTTTTCTATTTTAAGTAGAGACCGGTTTTGCTCTTGCTCAGGCTGGTCTTGAACTCCTGACCTCAAGCAGTCTACCTGCTTCGACCTCCCAGAGTGATAAGATTACAGGCATGAGCCTCTGTGCCAGCTTGACCACAGACTTTTAAATTTACATTAAATCACTTATAATTATGAGCTTTCTGAGTCAAATATGGACATTAGTGACATTTTCCTAATCCAGGAGCTAGGGAATGATGTTGGCTGAGAGAAGCCAGAACAGGGAGGCAGAAGAAATCCAGCAAACACTGAAGGTTGAGTGTCGGGTAGTACCATGTGGAAAATAAGGAAGATCTACATCCAAGAAGGGTGAGGGCCTCAGAGGGGTGCAGGGAGGAAGGAGCAACCCCGTTGTATCTGGATCAGCGCAGATTAGGAAGAGCAGACTCCTTGAGAGAAGTGATGCTGAAAACCCTGATTGTGACGTGTGGTCTTTGAGCTGAAGCCCGGGGATTTGTCTGTTCTGTGTGAGTGGGCAGGGGCCACAGCATTTGGGTCTGCAGGAGAGAGTCCTGATGACAGTACTGGCTGAGAGACTGAGGTTTCACCAGATGTTTTCATGTAGTATCAACAACAGTCATTACCTCTAATTTTTAACATGACGTAGCAAGTAAGTAATCAAAATGTCAGGCTCCTAGTTATTATCCAGTCTCCTGCAGTCCCTATCTAAAGTAGAACTATTAACTCCTCATCAGTGGCAGGCTGAGCTTTGCCCTGGGCAGGCATTTTCCCCAGGCCCCCAGGGAGGCATTTAGGCATTTCAAAGCTGCTTGGGCCAGTTTGGAGGCATACATTCTCTCACAAACCTTCCCGTATACCCTAGAAAAACAATGCGGCCTCGTGACTTTCCTGAGCCCATAGAATAGGAATATTGCCTCAAATGATAAATTCAGTTTCTAGAACAGACTCTTGGATGGGATTTGAAACTCTTTTCTCTGCCCGTGTCTGCAGCATAGGCCCCCACAGCCCCTGAAGCTAGTTTAGTCCTGGGCCAGGTCCTGTAATTATGGATTACTACTGACTTACCGGGACCAGGTTCGTCTTCCTACTGGCAAGCAGTCAAAACTAGGGTGACCAGACGTCCTACTTTCTAACAATTTGTCCCGCGTCCCGCAGTGTTTTATAAAAGTCCTGATTTTTGGAAAGAAGGCACGAATGGGCGGGAGACAGGAAGGGAATATACGGTTTTCGGCTGCCATGTGGCTGTTTAGCCAGAATATGAGTTTTATATTATTTTTGTTAATTTCATAATGTTAAACTGTGATAATAACAAATAATTGTTGAGAAGTGATAATAACAAATAATTGTTGAGAAGTGATTATCGAGAACGGCTTATCAAAGTTTGCATTGTTGTCAGGCCCTGCCCTGCCCCATCCCCTTCCCTGCCTCTGCCCTGCCCACCTCGGCCATGTTGTCCAGCATTACCAATGTTAAAATCTGGTCACCCTAGTCAAAACACAAATGATGCTCATGATCTTAGTATGTTAGAGATACTGAAGAATTAAAATGTACTGGGTAAAGATGTTGGTAAATTGGCTTGGAGCCTGTGGCTCAAGTGGCTAAGGCACCAGCCACATCTACCTAAGGTGGCGGGTTTGAATCCAGGCCGGACCCACCAAACAACAATGATGGCTGCAACCAAAAAATAGCCGGGCGGGCATTGTGGCGGGCACCTGTGGTCCCAGCTACTTGGGAGGCTGAGGCAGGAGACTGGCTTGAGCCCAGGAGTTGGAGGTTGCTGTGAGCTGTGATGCCACGGCACTCTACCCAGAGGGACAGCTTAAGGCTCTGTCTCAAAAAAAAAAAAAAATAATGGTAAATAATGGAAAATGTTCTCAGGGGAAGGTTTTAGAACTATAAATGACTGCATTTTATGTTTTTTTAATTTTTTTTAAGCTGCATCTATGATTATTTTATCTTTTGTCATTTCTTTTTTTTCTTTTCTTTTCTTTTTTTTTTGAGACAGAGCCTCAAGCTGTCCCCCAGGGTAAAGTGCTATGGCATCACAGCTCACAGCAGCCTCCAACTCCTGGGCTCAAGCGAGTCTCCTGCCTCTGCCTCTCAAGTAGCTGGGACCACAGGCGCCTGCCACAACACCCGGCTATTTTTTGGTTGCAGCCATCATTGTTGTTTGGCAGGCCTGGGTGGATTCAAACCCTCCACCTTAGGTGTATGTGGCTGGTGCCCTAGCCACTTGAGCCACAGGCGCCGAGTCATATTAGCTGTTTTCAAAAGCTGAATAATCTTGGCTCAGCACTTGTAGCTCAGTAGTTAGGGCACCAGCCACATACACCAGAGCTGGTAGGTTCGAACCTGGCCAGGGTCTGCTAAACAACAGTGAAAACTACAACAAAAAAAATAGCCAGGGGTTCAGCACCTGTGGCTCAAGTGGCTAAGGTGCCAGCCATATACACCTAAGCTGGTGGGTTCAAATCCAGTTCAGGCTGCCAAACAACAATGACAGCTGCAACCAAAAAATAGCAGGGCATTGTGGCAGATGCCTGTAGTCCGAGCTACCTAGGAGGCAGAGGCAGGAGAAACGCATGAGCCCAGGAGTTGGAGGTTGCTGTGAGCCATGATGCCACAGCACTCTACCCAGGGTGACAGCTTGAGGCTCTGTCTCAAAAAAAAAAAAAAATAGCCAGGTGTTGTGGTGGGCGCCTGTAGTCCCAGCTACTTAGGAGGCTGAGCCAAGAGAATCACTTAAGCCCAAAAGTTTGAGGTTGCTGTGAGCTGTGACAACATAGCACTCTACCAAAGGTGACATAGTGAGGCTCTGTCTCAAAAAAAAACAAAGTTGAATAGTTGGGTGGTGCCTGTGGCTCAAAGGAGTAGGGCGCTGGCCCCGTATGCCAGAGGTGGCAGGTTCAAACCTAGCCCTGGCGAAAAACTGCCAAAAAAAAAAAAAGGAATGTTCTAAAGGGGATGAGAATAATAATAACACTAATTCTGTGGCCGTAAGTGTTAGGCACTTTATAAGATCTTTTGAAATAGGTGAAACTTCTCATAGTGCTTTGAGGTCATTATGGTTAGTACTTCCATTTTACCAAAAAGGAACAACACTTTAAGGTGGTTATAATTATTATTTCATTTTATCAGTAAGGAAACTGAGCCTTAGGAAGGAAAAATAGCTTTCCTAGGATCACACGGCTGGCAGGCCATGTCACTGGGACTCGGGGCTGACGTCTTCCAGGTGGGGACCTTACTCTCTTGTTCACTACTGCATCCCAATGCCTGGCAGATAGTTAGCCCTCAAATATTTGTCTAGTGAACTGAATTTTGTGTGTGAATATTTTCATTATTGTCATAGACAAAAATTGTTTTTGTCCCAATTCCCAGAGTTTTTTGAGAGATGATTTGAGTAAATACAAGTGTTTCAACTCAAGTATACAATGTATTATTTTTAGGAACATGAGAGAATTTCAAGAATCCATGAAGAATTTAAGAAAAAAAAGAATGTGAGTAAAACGATTTTCTTTTTCAAAGTATCAAAGTATGTTCTTATCCAGGTGCCTGTGTCAGAATTGACAGACTAGATTCTCTCAGCTAAAGGGTTTTTATGTGTTTGGAGTTTCTTTGTATTTCATGAGATGGTACTTTTTTTTTTTTTTTTGAGACTTCATTCTATGCCCTGGGTAGAGTGCCATGGCATCCTAGCTCACAGCAACCTCAAACTTTTGGGCTCAAATGATCCTTTTGCCTCAGGCTCCCAAGTAGCTGGGACTACAGATACTGGCCACAAGGTCTGGCTAGTTTTTCTATTTGTAGAGACGGAGTCTCACTTTGCTCAGCCTGGTCTTAAACTTCTGAGCTCAGGCAATCCAACCTCGACCTCCCAGAGTGCTAGGATAACAGGTGTGAGCCACCATGCCCAGCCTCTTAAGAAGATACTACTTTTAAGGGAAAATGAATGGCTTCTGATGCCATTTCTTATCATCTCTTCCTAAAATATTCTGCTGTCCTGATTTACTAACCTAGGAAAATGAGCGTTGATCTAGAACTCATCACCCACGTTTCCTCCTAAAAGATTAATTTATTTTACACCTTTCTAACACCATTCTTAACTTAATCTCACAATAAAACCAGGCATGGCAGCAGTACTTGGGAAACTGAGATGGGAAGAGCCCAGGAATTTGAGACTAGGCTGGGCAACATAGTGATTCCTTTATCTCTAAAAAATACCATCAGTAGGTGCTGGAAAGACCTTTTATTAATCTTTTCTATACTTATTATTTCCTTTTTCTTTTTCCTTTTTTTTGTTTTAAGAGGTAGAGTCTCATTTTGTCATTCAGGATGGGGTATAGTGATACAATTATAGTTTACCTCAAATTCCAGGGCTCAATCAATCCTCCTGGCTCAGCGTACCAACTAACAATGACTGCAGGTATACATTACCATGCCTGACTAATCATTTTTTAAATTTTTTATAGTGACAGGGTCTTGCTATGTTGCCCAGGCTGGTCTCAAACTCTTGGCTTCTAGTGATCCTCACACTTCAACCTCCCAAAGTGCTAGGATTACAGGTCCAAGTCACCATGCCTGGCCATTATTTTCTTTCTTTCTTTCTTTTTTTTTTTGAGACAAAGTCTCACTAGGTTGCCCTTGGTAGAGTGCTATGGTATCACAGCTTACAGCAACCTCACAACCTCACACTCTTGGGCTTAGGTGATTCTCTTGCTTCAGCCTTCCCAGTAGCTGGGACTACAGTTGCCACCATAATGCCTGACTGTTTTTGTTGTTGTGGTGGTTATCATTGTTGTTTTAGTTGGCCCTGCCAAGTTCGAAACTCCAGCCTCGGTGCATGTGGCCGGCACCCCATCCACTGAGCTATGGGTGCTTCCCCCATTATTACTTTGTTTTTTTGTTTTTTGTTTTTTTTTAAGAAAGAGAGTCTCACTTTATCACCCTTAATAGAGTGCTGTGGCATCACAGCTCACAGCAACCTCCAACTCCTGGGCTTTTAAGCTATTCTCTTGCCTCAGCCTCCTGAGTAGCTGGGACTACAGGCACCCACCACAATGCCCAGCTATTTTTTTTGTTGTTGAAGTTTGGCTGGGGCTGTATTTGAACCCACCGCCCTCGGTATATGGGGCCAGCGCCCTACCCACTATAGAGGCTGGGCACTGTGGCTTATACTTATTAATCCTAGCACTCTGGGAGGCCAAGGCAAGTGGATTGCTTGAGTTCCAGTGTTCGAGACCAGCCTGAGCAAGAGTGAGACCCCATCTGTACTGAAAAAAAAAAAAAGGAAAAACTAGCTGGGCATAGTGGCAGGCATTTGTATTCCCAGCCATTCAGGAGGCTGAGGCAAGAGGATTACTTAAGCCCAAGAGACTAGATTGCTGTGAGCTATGATGACGCAGGCTATGGCACTCTATCCAGGGCAACAGAGTGAGACTCTGCCTCTAAATAAATAAATAAAATTTAAAAAATATACAGAGCTGGCTCGGCGCCTGTGGCT